GAGCCCCATTTAGCGTTCTTACATCCTGCAATGTTGAAAATAGCTGGTCCAGTGATGTTTTCACTTGATTCAAACTGTTTGTGTGGATTTAAATACAGGTTCAGCAGAAACCAAAGCAAGTCTCACACTTACTTTCTATTAAACATCTCCATCAGAAGATTAAAAACCTATTTTACACTTGACAGGAAGATGCTGGCTCACCGGAGCCAGCGGCCTGATGTCTGAGGTGGTCGGTGGAGGGCGGGGAATTTCCTTAAATTCCTCAAAAAGGGAAAAAAAAACAGCTGAACAAATCTTTTAATTATCGTATCGTCCAAAGAACCTACAAAGGCCTAATTCTTTCCAAACCTATAGTGCTTTTTAAAGGCAAATTTTGCCCCTTAATTTCACATGAAATATTCAGTAAAGCATAATTAAATTTTATTCCAAGCTATTTTTATTGGGTTCACAGAAACACAGGGTGGCGGCATCTTTAAAACAAACGTCATTTTCAGTGAAGCTGGGTCCTCCAAAATGAACTCAAAATGCAAAACCCACTCCCAGAGCCTGATTTAGTCCAGGACACACACTGGGTAGGAACAAGGGTGGGCTGCAGCGCCTCAGGGTGTGGGCAGCTGGTGCCCAGGACTCGGCCCCGCTGCAGGCCGGTGACCAACCAGGCCTCTCCGCCTCCCTGACTGCACACCTCCATCTGAGGAGGGAGCCCTCAAGGTTGTCCAAAAAATCCCATTAGGCATGGTCTGCAGAATCATCTCCTTAAACAGTGACGGTACATAAAGCGTGAGTTGCTATTTTCTCCGTTTCTATAATAATGCAAGTAATAGACTGTGCTGGAACTCGCCACTGGATTTTTAACTGTAAGTCCCCCCGAGTTTCCTTCTGTATTTCTGAAGGTAATTATCTGGGGGGCTCATGGGGGGGGTATATGCAGTGCTTCTGCCTTGGCTGGAATTGGGATGCAGCCATGGGAAGCGACGCCGTGGAACCCCGTGCCCGCCTGCCTCGTGTCCACAGGCCACGCAGGGCACAGACGGGGCAGCTACACGGGGGCTGAGATCCAGGAAAATCAAAGACAGGCCTCCTAGTGTCCAGTGACCACAGACACGGTCTGAGGCAGAAATAGGACAGGTCCAGAAGCAGAGTGGGGCATCGAGACAAAGGCTGCGGCCCGAGCCCAGGGCTGGTCAGCACTGGCCTCAAAGGCCGTGGGCCACGTATGGGGCCACTGGGAAAACACGCACGTGCAAGTGAGCCGAGGGGGCAACCAAGGGTGGGGACGGCCGGGGGCGGGGGAGCGCCGCACCTCCTCCGCAACTTGGCTGTGAATATGAAGCCATTCTGAAACAAGAAGCCTGGATTCTTCAAATAACTTTTAAATTAAAGAGCGGGGGTGGCCTTTGGGGAAGACAAGGGACCTGTACTTAGGCGCCTGCCGCGAGGTCCAGTTTCCAACCACTGGCCCCTTCAGCCTCACATGGCTCCTGACCTGGGGGTTAGACTCAGCGGCGCCACCCTCTCCCCCAGCTGAGGACACCCATCAAAGACAGAGCGACTTTACCAGGGCCCCCCACTTTCAGGGGTGGAGGTGGGGTTCGGTTCCTGGTCTCACCCAAAGGCCAAGAGTCACAGTCTGGCCAGTGACTAAGCAGGAAGGCAGAATGCCCCCGATTCCAGCCGTCCCCAGGGACCACCACCGAGTGCCGTGGCCCCCACATGCTGGACAGGGCAGGTTCAGGGGGGCATCTACGAATGGGTGCCTGGCCCCTGTGGAGTATCCATGCACCTTCCTATGGCCAGTTCCCCTGCAAACCCTCCCACCAGAAGCACCCCAACCTGTGCGGTCACAGAAGGGCCAAGTGAGGCTGTGCCTCTGGCGCCACAAAACATGAAAGTGTGTGAGATCATGGGGTCGGGGTGGGGGGTAACACTCACCACCTGGGGCTTTCCAAAATCCACTGAATGGCTAAGAAGTTCTCAGAAAGAACCAAACCCAAGGCAACTCCCCTTCTGAAGGCTGTGGTGGGCCCAGGAGCAAGGCCCTCCCTGCTGAAGCCCTCTGTGGGCCACCAGGGGCACCCTCAGGCCCCCGCTCGGGAAGATCTCAGGCACACGACACGCTCTGCACTGCAGGAGCTGAGTGAGAACTGGATCCCGAGTCAGCGAGCGCAAGATGTGGGGTTCTGCGGCAGCTTAGGGGGCACTGGCTGGCCCTGCACGCAGCCCCGGACACTCGGGACACCCCCCAGCAATGGTGGGGAGCACTGAAAGCAGTGAGCCCATCAGACCTTCAGAGTTCTCAAAGCCTCGTAATGTCAACAGAGCTCCCGGTTACGAGCCTGCCCTGCGCCAGGCCGCTGGGGCCGCACTTGGGAGGCCTCCCCAGCATCTGCCGAAGCACCAAGAAACACGCCCGTTTCTTCCTGGCTTTAAGAGCCACTCTTCATGGCATTACAAGTGGACAGTCACCGTAATAAAGTTATAGCACGGCGTATTATGCACGATCAAAACATGATTTAATCTTCACACTAAAATCCTTATAAGAATAAACAGCCGGCACTCGGCTCCCTGCGCCCAGGCTGCTATTCCGGGCACATGACACTTATTTAATACCCACGACATCCCTCTGAGAGGCTGTAAAAGTCTATTTTAGTTAAAAAAAAAAAAAAAAAAAAGTTCAACCTCGCCTCTCTTGAATGCAATCAAGAATTCCTTTACATTTCTCCTTCCACTGATGATTTATTTGTCCACAAAACTAGAAATGCAGATTTGTGAGTTCTGCCTCATTAACCACCTTCTGCAATTATTTCTTCACCCCAGAATTCACACTTTTTATACTTTCACGGGAGGATAAGATTACATAATCAAAATAGTTCAGCAGTAAGTTTAATGAAAAATGCATTATGCCCTGAGAGGCTTTCTTGTTTTTGTTTTGCTTCGTGGTACATAAAAATCCGCTCTTTGCTTTTCACGCTTTATTCAAAAGGAACTGAAACATATTTACTGATTGGATCAGAAATGCTAGTTACTTCTCAACGGGAAGTAACATCCAAGTTCAACTGGGCCTTCTCTCTCTGTGGTCTCGGCGGGCTCCTTCGGCGGGCAGGAAAGAACAGGCGCTCACAATGAAATGAGCAAAACCTGACAAACGAAAAAGACGAGGCCTGAAGAGGAGTTTCAGATCGTGGAACAATTTGTCACACGTTAGTGCCACGAATACACTCACCTGGAGCCAGGCGGCCCTCGCAGGATGCCGCCTCCCTGACTGTGCTTTTTGCTCTTTGTGTTAAAAAAAAAGAGAGAGAAAGACAACGTCCCCAAAGGCTCCAAGAACAACCTGGTGCTCTGGCTTCGGCCCACAGGGGACAGAGGGCGGGGGACATGCGCAGAGGTGAGCTGGGCCACACGCGCGTCCGCATTGCCCAGGTGATGCCCCCCAAGCGCCCCCTGCAGCTCTGTGATGTCACTTGATCTAGGAAGCATCTTGCTGCATCTTGCTTCACCTTGCTGGATGCCAAAGTTAGCTTTTCAATTACTCAAGAGCAAGGGAAATGCTCAGTGTCTGCTTTCTGCCTCCCCAGTTCCACTTCTCAGGCGTCTCCCCAGACTCTCGCTGGGAGTCTCGCTACTGCGACGCCATCGACGCTCCAGCTTCTCCTCATCGGGAGGTGCAGGAACCCAGGCCTGTGACTCCCAATTCCAAAGCCCGCCAGTCATTTCAATCACAGAAATGTTTACATTTACCCCCAAATCTCAACGCTTTCCCACTCTGCAGTCACAGGAGAGGCAAATTAAGACGCGAAGAGAGCAGGAGCGGGAGGGCTGCCCTGGCCGCGTTTGCCCGTGGGGGCGCTTACGCGCTGCACCTGCCCACCCCAAACCCTGGACGCCCGCGGGCACACAGAGGCTGCATGCTGGGAGCATCCATTCCTGCGGGACAATATGTAACCACATCATCCATCGCAGGGGGCGGGGGGGGGTGCTTAGGAGAAGCGTGGCCACTGAGCAGCCCCGGCGCGTGGGGTGAGGCGCACGCAGGTGACCTGTGCCCGCGGCCAGCCCACGATCCCCTCCGGACAGCGCGGGCAGGACAGAGCGGGTCACTTAAATCTATTTCGTTTTCAGGCATGCTCGGCTCAGACTCATTCTGGGTCCTGAGGACAATGAACGCCCTGGCAGAGCCGTCCTGAGGCCGGATGCGGGGCTGGCGGGACGGCAAAGTGCCGCTGAGAAGGCGCCGGCGCGACCCTGCTCCAAGGACCCTCTTCTCGCGGCCCCATGAACAAGTGTGTGTGAGAGCCTGGAATAAGTAAGTGTAAAGTGGGTCAAGACCATCGCTTCTATTTCTGTTTTTAACTGAAGAAAATTCGCCCCATTTCCAGAGGCACAGGGGGGAGGAGACGCCGGGGAGGGGCAGGGGAGCGGGCACTGAGCCCGCACAGGTACATGCCCGCACGCGCACGAGCGCCCCGCTGCTCACACCACACACAGGCCTGGCCGCCTCCTGACACTGCCCCGCGTAACTCAAAACCGGGGCCTTTACAACCGATCTCGAGACTTGACAGCACAACCTCTAGGGGGCTGAAGGCTGCACCTTCGCAAAGCCACAAAACCTTTTCTTTTAAGGATCAAATTATAAAATAAAGGTTCAAAGGTGATCAAGGTTCAGATTCAATCAACACTAATTCAGAAGACTGTTTCCCTGACACGCATATTCAGCAAACTACTTGTAGTTTTGTTTTGTTCTCACACAGGGCCCGGGGGAGCCATTAGGAACCATCACCCTCTACTAATATCCCCGTCTAGGGCCATCTGCCAGGACAAGCGCGACTGTCCAGGGCCCCTGCGAGGTGCTGTCAGCTGAAGCACAGGGCCACAGGCAGAGCTTCTCAGGCCCGGTTCCAGCACTGAGTCATGTGGCGAGGACCAAGGGTCCTAGTCACCCCTCCAGGATCCATGAACTCCCCACAATGCACAGCGGAGCAGAAGGAAAAGCCTCACCCCACAGGCTCAGCTCCCTCCTCCCTCCGGCCTGGGCACTACTCGGGGGCAGAGCTGTGAGGTGAGAGATCTGGGGTAAACCCTGTGCTCCTGAGCCTCACTGGACCAGCTGGGGCACCCAGGCGGGGAAGCGGGGTGCTATCTAACCTTCCCTACTTGGAACTGACTTCCACTCAGATCTGAAGCAACCGATGCACCAGAGGCTCAAGGGCAAGCACCCCCCTCTCCAGGGCTGGACAGCTCGGCGGCCGTGCAGCAGCAGGAGTCGGTCCCTCTCAGGACACGCAAGGGGAGCCGAGGGGCCTGACGGGAGCCTCCGACGCCGAGGCTCGGTCTCCCTAGGAGTTACTCAGTTCAACAGTCGCTCAAGACACCAGAACAACGAGCTGAAGATTTCAAGGTGATCAGATATAAACTTTTTTTTATACATAAAATGGGATCGTCTCTGTGGAGTCAGCTGCTTCTGACTTGTTTCCATTGTTCTCTGCACATGTGCTTCCTGCTACAACAATGTTAAGACCTGTGTAAACAAAAACAGCATGAACCTTTTTGGCTTGTAGGAACACCCCTCCCACCCACCCCACAGCCCCTCGGCCAGGCCCGCCCAGGGCTCAGGGAAGCAGGGCCCAGGGAGGCGGCAGGTCTCGGGCAGGCTGTGCAGGGGGCAGCCATCTGGGCTGGTCTCCAGAACCAGTGTGGAGACAGCGCCGAAGCGGGGAGGGAGGGGGCTGGGGCAGCATATGTGGTGCCACATCTGGGGGTCTAGGTCTCAGCAGGACACTTCTGAAGGGGCAAATTACAAGTTTAAGTGCGCCACCTCGGCCTCGTGGAGGCAAGAGTGACAACCAGGCATGCTAGTGACCCAGGCCTAAGACAAACCACAGAGAACAGATGTCAAAGCCCCCACCCCCTGCCTCCCCGCCGGCTTCACCTCCAGAGACACTGGAACTGCGTGTGCACCAAAGGGGGTGACGCTGCTAAGGGGCTTTTATGAAGCTGATACTCGGGTTCTCTTATCATAACATGTCACGATTTATACGAGTGACGTCACTATGCGCTCAGCTCTGCAGGGATGCACCCCAGCCCAGCCCATTCGTCATCAACATCTGTGCGCGCAGGAGTGACTTTATAAGCAAGACACCATTAAGTGGGGAGGAAAACCTCAAAATAAATTGCAATAAAGCCATTAATGTTCTTTTAATTTCTTGCTTAATTTCCAGTTCTTGGGATTCCAACACTTCCCCATCAGATGGAAACATTTTAATTAGAACAGAGAGTTTAAGAAAACTTTCATAATGAGCAGCGCTCGTTATTACACTAAATTGTGTTCACAGGGTTTTCCTTCGTGTGAATCCGATGGTGCAAAGGAGAACGTTATATAAGAGAGGGCTCAGTGCCCATGTGGACTCTCAGCAGTGCTCTCGGGGGAAGACTGAGGCCGGGGCACCCCCACTGCGCCACCCCAGGGTGTGTGACATCAGCGCACGGACGGGCCGTGACCTCGCAGCAGAAGCCCAGAGCTCAGCGTGCGCTCCTCCCAGAATCAGGGTGGGTGGCATCGGGGGGGGGGGGGGGGGGTGCGGTTCTGGTTAATCCCAACACAGCAAGAAATGAGACGAAAGGGAACTAAATCTTTACTGCTTGGTAAGGGCACAGAACCCGCACCCTTTCACCTGTCCCGGCAGCTGTGGGAGGCAGCGGGAGCACCTGTGTGGCTGAGGTGTGCCGTTCACCTGTTCAGAATAGTTCGCTTTCTCCTGGCCTACGAAGCAAAGACTTTGCTTTCTGACCTCGTCCTCACCAATTTTTATTAAATCTTTAAGGACATGTTGTGGATTAAAGCCAAAATGTAGGTGGGTGGGCAGGTGGGTGGGCAGAGGGAGGGACAGACAGACAGACAGACAGAGAAAGATGGAGAGACAGGGAGAGGCGCAGGAGGCAGGCAGGGAGGTGGACAGCTGAATTGTTCCTCCGCGCAGCAGACGCTGACCACGCCTGCCCTACGAGGCGCCCTGAGCAAGGGCAGTCAGTTCCGGATGCTGCTGCCTGTGTCACATGGAGCTGCCTGGAAGCCACGAAATGCTTCCGCAGGGCTTCAGGCACATTGAGGATTGCTGAGTGAAGTGTTACTAAGAGAATTTGAAGATTGTGGCAAAACAATGATAGGAATCGAAAGATGACAAAATGAAGATAAGAATTTCAAGGAGAAATTTTTTTCCCGGGGGACAAAGACTACCGCGAGTTACACTGAGTTAGCATTTTCATCACCACTCAGAGACAGGCCTCCGGGATGACAGAAGCAGAAATGAAAAGTTGCCGTTTGGGGGAAGATCTTATCTGAGTATGCCCTTGTGTTCTGGTGTCTGACTCTGCCTCAGAAAGCTCACCCCATGCCCGTGATCCCGAGGAGGTACCACTTGGGTTTGACACGAGGCAAAAGCGACCCCTCAGAGCCCCACAGATGTTTTGAGAAAAAAGCGGGGGTGGGGGGGCCTGAGAAGATCCGAGGGCGGCCACTGAGCCACTAGGTCACGAAGCCTCCCCCCGCCTGCTCTGCTCACACAGCCTCGGTGGTTTCAGAGCCACCCAGACGCCCCCTCGCGAGCCCTGGCCTCTGCTGTGAGCCCTTCCCGCCCAGAACCCTGGCCGGCAGTGCCGCGGCCAGCCCGGACCCACGCCAAGCCAGGCCCAGCCCTTGAAACGCATCTGGTCTGAATTCAGACCTGCTGGAAGTGTAAATCCAAACCAGACGTCAGAGATTTAGAACCAAAACCATGTCCAATACCGCAGTAATTCTCATATTGATTATGTGTTGACATTTTCGACACACTGGGCGAAATAAAATCTATTATTAGAATTAATCTCAGTCCTTTACACTTTTGAAAACCACAGCCACCAGAACACAAGGCAGACATGCTTCCGTCCAAGGCACCGCCGGCCTCGCCATCAACTGGAACAGCACCCGCCCAACAGCCAACCCAGGCGTCCCACTGCCCGGCTGCCCTCACCTCCCTGCCCCTCACCTCCCTCAGCCTCCACTTGCGCCCACAGCCTGGCTCTGGGTCCCCATCACACCGGGGTCCTGCTCGCCCCCTGCCCCCTCTCCCGGCGAATCCCACTCCAGCTAAATGCAGCAGAAAGACACCTCCCGGAAAGCCCCAGCCCCCGCCTCCCAGTCACTCGAACTCGCTAGAACCAGACTGTGGCCCTCAGGGGCCACACACACAGCTTTCAACCTCTTCGCCACCAGGTCCACTGCCAACACTGCCGGATCTGACCTCTAGCGGCACCTGACACAGACGATCCGCTCTCTGCCCTGAGGCCCTCTCCCCTGCTCCTCCTCGTCCGTCCTCTCAACAGTGGGGACCCCAGGGCTCCCTGTGGCCCTCTGTATCTGCCCACACCCCTGCAGGTTTCATCTGGAGCAGAGCTTCAAGAACCTTCTATGTGCTGGAAGCACTTCCCAAGCTAGCTCACCTCTAAACGACACCCCTATGTGTGACTGCCGAAGCCACACCTCCACCTGCACCTTCAAGTCAGGAGGCCAGGACAGAGCTCTGGCTGCCCCTCATCCTTCCGCCCGGCCTGCTACTCCTGTGTCTGCCCAAGCTCAGGGAAAGGGTCCCGCCTTCTTCCAGGTGCTCAGTTTGCATACAGCCCGGCAGCTCCTGCTCTGAAACACAGCCCGAAGCTGGCTGCTTCCCACTGCCCTGGTCCATGCCAGCACCCCCACCAGTCTCCTCACTGGTCTCCCTGACCCACCCCAACCCCCTAGGATCAGCAAACTTTCCTTAAAGGGTCAGAGAAGTATTTCAGGATGTGGGGCCAGATGATCACTGTCACAGCTACTCAGCTGGCGGCTGCCACCTCTGCAGCCTCAGACAACAGACCAATGGGGGCGCGTGGACCGACCCCAATCAAACACAACTTAAGTGGACACTGAGATTTGACCTTCACGTCACTCCGTGTGCCGCAAGATAGTACCAGTCATCTTTGTTTTTTCAATCATTTAAAAATGTACTCATGTGGCTACTGCACTGTACTAATGTGGCTGGCAGGCATCAGGGCTGGGTGGGGTCTGCGGCTGCAGGAGCCAACCTGCCCAAGGCTCACCTCCACGCAGCCCCCTCAGTGAGCCTCTGTCTCCTCCTCTCCTGCTCAAAAGCTCTGGGATGGCCTCCTTTCCCCTTCAGGGGATCAGAGGACCTCCCACCGCCTACGGGGCAGCACCAGTACAGCTCCTGGTGACCTCCCGCTCGGCCTCCCACCGCCTCTGTGCAGCCACCCGGGCCTCCCACCTCTCTCCAAACCCACGCTGACCGGGGCGACTGCTGCACTGCTGCCTAGGGAACTTACTCCAGCTGTGGCCACGCCTCGCAGGCGCCTCCCTCAAATCCCCTTCCAGAGGCACCTGCTCATCAGTCACACACCATCGGCTGGGCACAGGCGTGTGAACGCACAGATTCAGGAGCCCGTGGAGGGCATGCCCTGCCTCGCTGCTCCTCACCACTTTCATTGCCACCCACATGTCTCTGCTGGCTGATTTATTTAGGAATAAAGACATTGGGCAGTTTTTTAACAGAGACCAAACAGCGTGGTGTGAGAACGTGCGCTCTGGAGGCAGACTCCCCGGGAGACCCCACCCGCCCCTTGTCAGGGCGCACCCCTGAGCTGCTGGCCTGACCTCTCCCACCTGGTCTGCAAAGTGAGGGTGACCGCAGCAGGGACTCCTCAGCGCCCCTGAGAGGCGGGTGGCAGGAACTCTGGTCAGCACAGGCGATCACGTGTTTGTCATTTTATTTATTGCTTACCGCCCCTCCCCCAACCAGAAGTGAGTTCTGAGATCTGCCTTCATGTCACTTGCTGCTTTACTCTGCCCAGGGCACCGCCTGCGGCTGGGCACTGAGCTGACGTGTGTTTCCATGAAAGTCACTGTGAGCGTGGGCACAGCGCCCCCACACACACACATCACACCCCCATCCCACACACAATCACGCTCACACGCCACCATCCCACATACCCCATCATACCCGCACACGCACAGGCAACAGGCAGGGCTAAGTGGGCTGCACACCTACCAGAGAGAGGTGAACAGCCACCGCTGGGGCGGGGCAGCTGGGTCTCCCTGGGGAGAGACCACGCAGAGCCCTCACTGGGCGCTGGGGTCACTTCATACGCAGGCTCCTGCTATCCAAGCCTGTGTGTCTACTCCAAGGCTACACGTACAGGCCTCCGACCAAACCGGAGAAGAAAAAGCTGGAATTCTGCATAGGCAGCGCGGCCAGCACTTCCTGGCATGAGCACAAAGGCTGTTACCCCCAGTGGCTTATGTTTCACCCACCTGTCTGAAAACCAAGAGCATCTCGACGAATAAAAGCAAAAGGGGCACGCACCCCGCCCCGCCACACGCGTGGTCCCGCGCACCACGCACCAGCACCTCTGCCGGGACTGCTGGGCCTGGGTTCGCAGCTGGAATGGCCAGGCCGTCTGCGACCTGGCGTGACTGCTCTTTCAAAGAAATAGGGGAGAAAGCTGCCCACTGCAGAGCAGGCAGAAACCATCTCCCCAGCCCCAAGCTGGGATGTGTCCCCCCTGCAGAAGAGGAACGTCCAGGAATAAGCGAGGGGGGGTGTGGAAACGCACCTCAAGGGCCTCCCGCAGGGGGCACCAGAAGAGGCGGGGGTCGGGGGGGACTGGGGACTGGGGATGGGGACTGCCTCCCTCGGCCAAGGCGACTGGGGCCCTCATTATGGTCCACTAGTCTGCGCCGCCTCCCGCTGACAGACCAGAACGGCGGCCGGCTCGGGTGGGGACCCCAGACAAGCCTGTCTGCTCTGCCCGAGGCTCGGAGGGTCACTGCGTAGACAGGACAGCCACGTGCCTCAGTCGGGGACAGTCCCTCTCAGGGCCACACTGCTGTGGGGGCCACGCCCGCACCCCCAAGGCAACAAGCTCCCCTTTAGTAAGGTATCTGGCTGATGGTTCTAAAGAAGACTCCGCAGCTTCTCCGATCCGGCCTAAGGCCCCACGCCCCAGGCCTCGCGAGGACAGCAGGCTGGGCAATGCCTTGACAGAACCCAAGACCTGGCAGACAGAGCGGGGCTGCGCGGGGAGCTCCTGGCCAAGCTGCAGCGCTGCCACCACCGGGACTGGCCGCGGGGTGCAGGCAGGGAGAGCAGGCCGGCCCGCCCGGCCTCGCCAGGGCGCTACCTGCCCACTCGTCTGCAGGATGGAGAAGCCGCGGCTGTCTGGTTACAGGACGCGGGGATCAGAGCCATCTGCCTGGTCTGGTGTTGCTTTAATTAAAACTTTAATTACAGACCCATCTCCGCACAGATCCGCGCCGTCTATCAGCCCCTGCTCTTAATTACCTGTGCTGATGAGACTGCAAGGAGCCGCGCCGGCTGGGCATTTGCTCCGGCCGCACCCCCA